CAGGAATAAGATAGTATCTGAGTTGTTTTGATTTGCATTTCCCTGATGACTAAGGATGTTGAACACTTTCTCATGTGTCTTTCAGCCATTTTAGATTCCTCTATTGAGAATTGTCTATTTAGTTCTGTACCCCACTTTTTAATTGGGTTGTTTGGTGTTTGGGGGGCTAGCTTCTTGAGTTCTTTGCATATTTTGGAGATCAGCCCTCTGTCAGATGTGGGGTTGGTGAATATCTTTTCCCAGTCTGTGGGCTGCCATTTTGTCATCTCTTGGGGGAGCGTGCTTCTAGCCTTGATCATGTTTTGACTGTTTTACTAATCACAATCATTATTAATCTTACATGTATCTAATAGTTATTAACTCTCTAAAGGTAAACTGATATTCAAATTCTTATGAATAACACTAAATGAGTTCCTGATTTGGAGAGAGCTAGAGTCTCAAGAGTTAACATTAGTTAACTTGCGGCTTGCAGGGATGGCTCAGGCAGTAAAGCGATCAGTCACAAGTGTGAGGACCTGAGTTCAGTCCCAAGAACCTATATAAGTCAGGCAAGGTGGCCAGTGGTAACCCAGAAAGCCAGGTGGGGTGGCCTGTGCTTTGAGTCTAATTTGTGTCAGGATGAGAGGAGGAGATATAGGTAGATCATGGAAACCACTAATCACCAGCTCATCCGACTTAGGGAGGTCCCAGGCAGTGAGTGACTCAACCTCTAAGCCCTGAACACCCACCACCCTGGGTACCACTCTGACCTCCACATGGGCACACATGCCCCTGCACATTGCACACCATATACATACCCACCCTACATACAAATTAATCAACAGGTCATAAGTTTAAGTAGACTTAGAAATTAAGAAACTAAGGAATCTGAGTTTGTCTTCCTTTTGGCTTTACCACAGAGTTTATGTTATACTTTATGTCAAGGAGATTTTCATGAATTTGCTGATTGCCGATTGAGATCGGTTGCATCCTTTATTCAGCACACCTTATAGATACTTTAATTAGCTTGGTTTACTCATTCTGTCTCATGTGCATGCAGCATCATTTTATAGTCCATAAATATAAACAGTCATATATATTAATGTCCAATATAAAATGAGATGAGAAAAAATGACTATGATTTTTTTCTTCATTTTGCCTGTACAACTTCACATATTTTCAGAAGTTGGAGTCAAATTATGTTTCATTTTGGAGCTTGAGGGCATAACAATTATACAAACCCTAATATACACATTTTGTTATCTATTTTAAAGGCTTATCTTTATATGAGAGAGAGAGAGCTAGAGAGACAGAGACAGAATATGAATGAGAGAATTATCATACCCGTCACTCAGGACATCCATTCATTATAAAACTTTTAATAACCAGTTGGCATGCAGTATTTTGATTGGGAACCACAATTTACACAAAATTTAAATTTTAAATTAATACAAAATTTAAAAAACAGTTATTGATTGC